TCCTAGGCTAAGGCATCACAAATCAGGCCACTCTAGTCCTAAAATATGAAATACCTAGCCTATCTCTAGCATGCATAACATCTCATAATATCTCATAACACATAAGGTAAGGGTATTTTGGGAAATCACCGTTCGGGCTCTGGCTGATTGTACACACTGCTCTTTCTCGTTTTCTCTTAGGAACTCTTGCTCATTTTAGAAAAATCATTTATTTGAAAATTTTCCTCAATTCCTCAGTTTGAGTCCAGATATACCCGAAGGTGCATCCGAATCCCTCAAACCAAGGCTCTGATACCAACTTGTAACACTGTAAATTTTCTAAACAAATTTTGTTTTGAAAAACATATGATTCTCAATACACATTTCATAAAACATCATTTGTTTAGTTTACAAAACACAATCCCTTCTTAATTACTTAATAATCCAGGATCCTCGAAACATAATTCTTTCACTGGTGTGTACAATCAAGCCGGTGCCGTCCCGAGATACTGAGAAAACCTAAAACACATAACACATAACACGGTAAGCACGAAGCTTAGTGAGTTCCCCAAAATACCACATATAACACATATTAGCCACTCGAGGCTATAACTCTGTGGGCCCTCTGGCCCTAACTCTGTGGACCCTCTGGTCCTAACTATGTGGACCTTCCGGTCCTAACTCTGTAAACTCTGGAATACACACAACATAAATCACATAGAAATAATGCAGTGCAACACATCACATCACATACATAGCATACAAGATACTCTGTCACATAACTCTAATTACCACTCAAGGTAAAGTATAGTGAGAAGACTCACCTCGGGTAACTCGGTAAATCTCGAACTCGGTAATACTGGTCTAGCCTCCGCCTAATCACATGGAACAATTACTCTAATCAATACAACTCTCAAAGGCTAGACTAATCCCACTCTAAGTTCTCTCAGAAGGGTAAAAGACCATTTTACCCCTCTTATGGCTTAAAGATCCAATCATTGACAAAACCCTAAAAGTCAACAAAAGTCAATCCTCCGGGTTACGCTGCGCGTACCAAATCTGTACTTTGGGCGTACCCGGCGACTTCACAGAATCGGGGAACGCGACCCCCTACGTTGCGCGTACTGGGATTACGCCCCGCGTAACTCCCAGTTTCATACTCCTTTTGATTTTGGGTCTTAAATGGTTAAGACATATACTCAAACTTCAGATCTGACTTCTCTAAGGCCACTTAATCCATAAAGTTGAAACCTTTAAGCCTTTGCATGGCTGTAAAGGTCAGTAATCACTCTAACACCTTTCCTCTTCCCTCATAAAGCCTAGATCTCATGCATGGCTTAATATTCACGTCCAAGATTGGATTTTTATGAACCCTCAACTCACAATACTCTGAAATATAGTAGATCTAAGCTTATGGAGACCTTTTGCTCATAAAGTCTCCACCTTGGGACCAAAAACCCTAAAAATTGGTCCATGAAGCACAAATCAACAATCACAAGGAAAGCTCAGAGCTTTTTACCTCCAAGTGAAGCTCCTCCCTCTATAGAACTCAGATCCAAGCTTGCACTCCAACTTCTAGCCTTCACAAGAACCTCCTCTTCTTCTTCACTAACACACAAAGGCACTTTTAGCGCAAGAACACTCTCACACAAGCTTAGAACGAAGGTTGGCTCTCTCTTAGGGTTTCACTCTCTCAAATGGTGGCTGAGGATAAGGCCATAACTTTCTTTATATAGGGTTCAAGTCTCATTTAGGGTTTTGAGTCTGGACCCGCTACGCCCAGCGTAGCCTAAGGTACGCCCAGCGTACTAGGTGGTGTTCGCGTCCAAAACACGCCCATGAGTACGCGCATCGTACTCTTCAGTACGCCCAGCATACTCATTTGCCACAATCTACTTTTAAGGGCTAAACAAGACAACTTAGAAAGAAGGAAGGGTTAAATAGATATACCCAAATTCCCGGATGTTACAATTAAAAAGAAATTAAGGTAATTATCCAATCAAATCCATGAAAGATATGTCAAAGTCGAAAATATAGGATCTGACTGAGCAACTCGTCGAGTCTGGGCAATACACTCGTCGAGTTCCAAGCATGAACTCGTGGAGTTCAGTGAACAGAATGACGATTTTGCTCCCTTCTCCTTTCAACGATTCACAATTGCATCAAGTTCAACTGAAAAACAACCTAGGCTCTGATATCACTGATGGGTTATGAGCATAAAAACAAATTCCTATGTGATCATGGAACCCTAATGTTTTGGATCTAGGTTTTCACTAGTTGAACATGCAAACTTGAATACCAAAGCAAAACCCTAGAAACTAGTATATAAATTGAAATTTACACAATAATAGGGTTTAGATGTTTACCTTGCTTGTTATGTAGTAATAACAAGAACACCTTGAAGATCTTTGACTCTTGAAAGCAAGTGCCTAAAATGTGACACATCTAATGGCTTACAAACACTCTTTGCAAGAGGATGAGAGGATAGGGGAGGGAATGCACCAGAATTTCGGCTAGGGTTCGTATGTATGTGTGTAGGCTAAAAATCCTAAGGGTGGGGTTGCTTATATAGCAATTGGTTGCTTAGTCCTAAAGCTAGGGTTTGCTGGAGAAAACCCTAATTCCCAGCTTAAGGCCTAAGCAGTCCATGGACCCTCATTAAGGAGCCTTGGACGAAAACTTATAGGTCCACCCTATAATTTCCGTCCACTCCTTTCCATTGAGTCCCTTAGCTCAGTTTCATAACTATCAATGATTTGCAAAACAGCCCCTGCATTATTAATCAGTTCCTTTAATCCTAAAATTAATTTAAAATTGATTTCTGATTAAATACTGATTAATAATATGATTTCTAATTAACATATTATTCTTATAATATATTAATAAATCATTTTAAGCATCAATTTATTATTCCAAATAATAAATTCAACTCTCTCTCCAATAGTCATCTTGTCGAATAGCATGAGTGAAGGCAACCTAAAAGGACTTGTGCTACTATCAATTTAAGTATATATCAATTATAGTTATGAGCTTAGACACATAATCCAAGATTAATGTATTATGGTAAAACCCTAATGTGTTTCTTTTTGACGGCTTGGTGCCATTCGTCTTTGTGACATGTTTTCTTGGTGAAAACAAACCCTTTCTTAGTGAAAAATATCTTTCTAATACGTTTGTGTTCTTCTATTGTTTTTTCTTGTTTATATTCGATCTACGAATCTACAAAGGGTTTAGGACCAACATTTGATTTCATAGTTTCAGGTATATCGGGCAAGGCGAAGGCGTGATTGTACACATCATCCTTGGATATTATATTGAGAGATGTTTTTGGATACTCTGATTTGATGACTACGTTTTTGGAAACAATGTATGACTTATGGATTATAAAGTGGTTTTGAAAAATAAATTTTTTTACTATGATTTTTGGGATGTTACAATAAAGGTTGACTGCTCACCACTCACCAACTTATCAATAACCAAAGACAATCTATTCACCAGGATCTTACCCACAATCTTATACAAACATCCAATGAGACTGTTATGAAGAAAATCATTGACAATCTTCACATCAAGGGGCTATAAAAAAAGAATTACAACTAATAGGAAACTTGCTAGTACTAGAAAAAAAAAATCTAAAACAAGCATCAATAAAATTCCTTTAAATCAAATACCAAAAGTAAACTTATTCGGACATGGGGACTTGTCAAGACCACAATCCCACACCATAACCTTAATTTCCTCAGAAGTAATAGAATTCTCCAACATATCTGCTTGGTCAGAAGAAAGCCTATTAGGATAAACTTGGAGAATCCTAGACCGAGATCTAGAAGGCTTAGCAAAACATTTTTAAATGTTCTAAAAGTTACATTTTAACTATAAAATGATTATGAACCCACTCCCCATCAGACAACACTCCACGAATTGCCGGATGCTTATGTTTTTTATTTAGAATACCATGAAAAAATTTAGAGTTCTCGTCTCCTTCAATACCCCACTTAATTTTAGCCTTATGAAGTAAATCAACTCCGTGTATACGATTAAAATCTTCATTTTTTTTTTTTGTAAAATAACTCTCTCGGCTAACAAAATCGGCTCCCCCTCACCCTTATCAAACTTTGAATTCAACTCCACCATAGACTGAATACAATGTTTTTTCACTCATTCATTGTTGTTCCTATAATTTAAATTCCACAGCCTTATATTTTTCTTCAAATATTGCAACTTCAATTTAAGGAGAGACATGACATTAGGATGAGAAATCTCATCATTTTTCCAAGAGTCTTCCATAACTTAAACAAAACCTTCCATATCAAACCAAGAATGAAATATTCTAAAAGGGGAGGGGTCATAATCAAACTTAATTTCTTTAAGAATAATTGGATAGTGATACGAGAGATGTCTATCCAAAATGAAAACTAACAAATAAGGGAAAAGCTCCAAAAAATCTTCCAACATAAGAAATCTATCAAACTTATTCATCTTCCCAACAACTCTATCAAACCACATAAAAGAAAAAGTCGCCCAAGAGGAATATCAAAGAGCCCTACATCAGTAATAAAGTCGTAAAAAAGATTAGCAGCAAATGAATGAAAAATCGAGCCATATCTTTCATTTTCAAAGCGAACTTCATTAACTCATTACTGAGCTTAAGATTTCTTTTTTCGTAAAAATAAAAATTTAGGATGATTCTTTTAAAAGCCTGATCAAACCTTAAAACTATAACCAAATTTATTAGTAATTATTCTAAATCAGTTTTATAAAATTGTACACACGAATATAAATGTTACATTACATTTTTTTAGTTAGCAAATTACATCCAAAGAGTTGGAAAGATGTCTATCCGTTAAAGGGGTGAGGGTTTAACTCTCACCGTGGACAACAAAATAGTTTAGAAGTATGATTTAATGGATGTGTTAACCGTCAAAACAAAAATAATAAAAAAAAACGTTGTAAACATGAAAAACGAAAAATGAAAAATGAAAAATGAAAAAGAATATAACGAAAGAAAGAGAAATTTAAGTATGAGGATTTTCAGGGCAGCTGCGTCTGTATGTCTCCGGCGCCAAAATTCCTAAAACCCTAAACCCTGTTTTACTCTTCAGTCTTCACATATTACATTATACACCATATCTTGAGCTCTGCCGCTGATAACTTAACGATGAAATCACTAATCTTTCCAACAAGAACAGCCGCGATCTTAATTCCAAATCTTGTTTTTAATCCGTCTAACTCGCTTTCTTCAATTTCTAATTTCTTACCTGTTAGAAACCCTAATTATCTCCCTCACCTACGTCGTCTTAGATTATCCTCATCTTATTCTTCGCCAATCACCGAAGAAAACGGCCATTGCCACCAAACTGAGGGTGAAATTCACGTAATTGTGGGCCCTATGTTCGCTGGAAAAACCACCACTTTGCTTCGCCGGATTAAATCTGAAAGCTCTAACGGCAGGTTTGTACCTCACCTTAGTAGTCTGCTAATTGAATTACTTCATTGAGTTTATTACATGAATGTCTTACTGTATCTGTCGCAATTCATCCGAACAATGTTTTTAAGTTGATCATTAGTAAAAGCAAAAACGGCTCCAACAACATCATCAAAAGCTGGAATATATTCACCTCACCTTCATATTTTGCATTCAATCTAAATTATCGCTGAATGTTATTGTGGATGTTTAATCGATTTACATGTTTAATTCATAAATTTCTCCTTGCTTTCTGTTCCAATAGCTGAATGCAATTATCACTGGTAAGATATTCCCAGATTTCAGGATAGGGTCTCAAAGCGCTTCCTCAACATGGATGAAACATTGAAGAATCTATGTTTTTCAGGAAGATTAGCAGAAGCAGTTGGATTACTTTGCCATACAGGACACCAAGTTGACTCAGAGACTTACTCCCTTCTTTTGCAAGATTGCATATTCAAAAAAGATTATCAGTTTGGTAAAAGAATCCATTCACAAATGATTATGTCTGGTTTTGTTCCCAATGAGTACCTAAACATCAAGTTGCTTATATTATATGCAAAATCAGGTGATCTAGTCACTGCCCACATTCTTTTCAAGAAATTACTCATCCCAAATGTGATTTCATGGAACGCCATGATTTCAGGGTATGTCCAAAAGGGTCTTGAAGAACAAGGCTTGAATCTTTATTACAAAATGAGACAAAATGGTTTAACACCTGACCAGTTTACTTTTTCTTCAGTTTTTAGGGCATGTGCCACCCTGGCAACACTAGAACAGGGTAAAAGAGCACATGGGGTTATGATCAAGACCCAAATAAATGGAAATCTTGTAGTCAATAGTGCCCTAATCGATATGTATTTCAAGTGCAGCTGTCCATATGATGGACATTTAGTATTCAACAAGGCCTCAGATAAAAACATTGTTACATGGACTTCCTTAATATCTGGATATGGACAACATGGAAGGGTAAAAGAGGTATTAGATGCTTTCCATAGAATGATAAACGAAGGATTTAGACCAAATAGTGTTACTTTTCTTGTAGTTCTTTCCGCTTGTAGCCATGGAGGTTTGGTAAAAGAGGGCTGGGAGTATTTTCAATCAATGAGAAGAAATTACAGGATTACCCCTGGGGAAAAGCATTATGCAGCAATGGTGGACATTTTAGGGAGATCAGGAAGGTTAGATGAAGCTTTTGAGTTTGTAAAAAGTGCACCTTGTAAAAACCACCCAGTGATATGGGGTGCACTTATTCAAGCTTGTAAGGTATATGGAAACATGGATATGGTCAAAATTGCAGCAAAAAAGTATTTTGAATTGGAAAGTGATAATGTTGGTAAATATGTTGTTTTATCTAATGCTTATGCTACTTTTAGTCAGTGGGATAATGTTGCTGAGATTAGGAGTGGATTGAAGGAATTGGGGATGAAAAAGGAACCTGGTTATAGCATGATTGAGGTGCAAAAAAAGGTCCATTTTTTCTTTATGGGGGATAACATGCATGAAGAAACTGATGAGATATATGAAGTTATCAAGGATTTGAATTGTATATTAAAAGATTCTATTTCTAGCTACTTTTTCTGATCAAAAGGGTTATTCTTCCAGCAACATCATACTTTTTTATGATAAGATAAATTTTTTGTGAGTTCATTAGCTGATGTGGATCTTTTTTTTTTTTTTTTTTTGGTTGAGGAAAATTAGTTTGAATTCTTGTTAGCTGTAGTAGTGTGATTAATATTTATATTTATGCAGAAATGCAGTTGTTATAAAGTCTAGTAAGGATACAAGATATGGATTGGATTCAATTGTGACACATGATGGGGAGAAGCTTTCATGTTGGCCACTTGAAGCTTTATCATCATTCAAAGAAAGAATTGGTCTTGAAGCTTATCATAAGGTTAGTTACACTTTTGGTCCCTGTATTATATCGACTTTGTTGGATATGGTCCAAAAAAGAAACTTTTTAATTACCTTTATAGTTTTGAGCCGTCTGATGTAACATCTCAGCTCATAAACTTTTTAAAAAAAATATCATTTTGCCCTTGTCTTTCCCTATTTTCTTCTTCTTCTTCCTCAAATCAAACCAAATGTAAATTTTATTGTTTTTTTTTTAATGTGTGATGATAGCTAGAGGTGATTGGAATTGATGAAGCTCAGTTTTTTGAAGACTTGTATGATTTCTGCATTAAAGCTGCTGACCATGATGGCAAAACTGTAATTGTTGCTGGCTTGGATGGTGATTATTTGCGGTAATTTTTATTTTTTTTCCATTTGTGGTAATTCAACAATTTTGTATTTGGATGTAGATTTTTGAATAAAAAAAGAAAAGAAAAAGTAGGATTTTATTAATGAAAGTAGGTTGGTTTTTGCAGAAGGAGCTTTGGGGTGCTTGATATAATACCAATTGCAGATTCTGTAACGAAATTAAAGGCACGATGTGAGGTGTGTGGGAAGCCTGCTTTTTTTACTTTAAGGAAAACAGAGGAGACAGAGAGAGAACTAGTGGCTGGTGCTGACGTGTACATGCCTGTTTGTAGAAACCATTATGTGACTGGTCAAAAGGTCAAACAGGCTGCAAGAAATGTTCTGGAAACACACAACCTTCAATGTGGCTCATTCTTATAGTCAATTTACTCATTCGTTCGTGGAATATCTGTACATGCCTGTTTGTAGAAACCATTTCGTGACATTCAACCCTTATATATTGTATTGTATAAAAACTTATGTTTTACTACGTACGTGTTTTCTATATTTAATGGGATGTTGTACGGAAATTACAAACCAAAATTCAATCGTTATATTTAGTATAAGAAAGTGAAATATATTAAATCTTGTTATTAATTTCATATAAAAAAAATAAATGAACAGTTGTTAGTGCATAGCTGGGTTTGTTATACTGCAAAAATGGTCAAGGGTTTGAGTCCCATTAGTCATATAAACGTTTTAATTCCATAATGAATTGAAAATTTTGTGAGCACTAGATCTATATATCAAATATCTAATGGGGCATTGTATATCAGATTTGCTTCTCTGTTGCTAGAAGAATAATCGTTTATTACGAAAAAAACATATGATGCAATGTTTATCTTCTCCAAAAATTAAAATGATTCCATTAGGATGGCTTATATTTACATGGAAGTGATGGACAACCATTGTCCTCTTTTATATCATTTATAACTCTTGTGGTTTTGAAAGTAAGATATTGCAATAGATTTTTACATTGCTTTGTTTATATAAAAAATATATATTAACTTGATTGGTTTTACAATAATAATTCTTGTGGTTTTGTCGTTTTGATGAGTAGGCGTTGAAATAAATCTCTAAATTGTGTTATTTGTACTTGTAGATGATAATTTTTTGTTTTTGTAAAAGAAATTATATTATGAATTGGTTTTTAAATTAATAATTATATTATTAATAGATTTATGAAAGGCTCGTTATTTAAAATTTTTTGACTCTATATTATGTTTGGAGTCGTTAACAACAAAGGAAGATGTTGGAATATTGTTTTCAGTTGATGTGGCAACTACGGTGTTCTTCGCTTCCGACCCAGATATGAGCTCTCTGCGATCCTACGATCATTACCACACGCATTTTCATGTCAATCCTTCAAGTCATGTTGAAAAGATCAAATTTTTCATCAACCCATCTTCCCCAAATCCTAAAATCTCTAAACAAAACCCAAATTTATCCATTTTCTACTTCAAACGGCAATGGAAGTTGTTCAGAGTCTGAAACCGATTGGGCGAGATTGCTTAAACCTTTCGACATTGAACAACTCAGGGAATCGCTCCACAGAATCACCCCACTTCAGCTTCAGAAATTACTTCACCTTTCACTTGATGTATCAACTTCACTTGAGATATTCAATTCCGCCAGTACCCAAAAAGGCTACGCTCATACGTTCGACGTGTATTACGCATTAATCGATAAGATTGGAGCGGCTGGAGAATTCAAGACCATCGATAGATTGTTGATGCAGATGAAAGACGAAGGGATAGTTTTTCAAGAAACCCTTTTCGTTATGATCATGAGGCATTACCAGAGAGCCGATTTACCTGGTCAAGCCAGGAGATTGCTTTTGGAAAAAATGCGAGACGTTTTCTTGTGTCAACCGACCTCCAAATCGTATAACACCGTTCTGGATATACTCGTCCAAGGAGGTTGCCCCAAAGACGCACCCAAATTGTTCGACGAAATGCTTGAAAGAGGCATCCCTCCTGATGTCTTCAGTTTTGCGATTGTAATGAAAGCACATTGCTCCATTAACGAAGTTGATTCCGCATGTACTCTCCTTAGACGCATGACAAAGTATGGATGTGCCCCAAACTCAAAAGTTTACCAGACCCTGATTCACGCATTATCCAAAGATAATAGAGTAGATAAAGCGTTAACACTTTTGGAAGAGATGATAGTCATGGGTTGTACACCTGATCTTGAAACTTTCAACGATGCTATTCATGCTCTTTGTAGATCAAATCGAATCCATGAGGCTGCAAAATTAATGGATAGGATGCTTCTTCGTGGGTTCACTCCAAATGCCCTAACTTATGGGGTTCTAATCCATGGATTATGTCAAAATAAGCAAGTGGAAGAAGCTAAAACCCTAATTACTGGAAGAAGCTAAAACCCTAATTACTAAAGTTCATGAACCAAATAGCATCATGTACAACATGTTAGTAAATGGGTTTATTGCAAAAGGGCAGTTTGATGAAGCTAAAGCAATTGTGAGTGAAAAGATGTCCATTAATGGCTGTCATCCCGATATTCATACATACACTTCACTCATTCATGGTCTTTGCAAAACTGGGCATTTGGTTTCAGCTTATGATTTGATGAAAGAAATGGAATCAAAAGGTTATGAGCCCAACACAATCACTTACACAATCTTGATTAATGGATTTTGTAAGAATCGAAGATTTGATGAAGCAAGTGAGGTGATTCAAGAAATGTCACAAAAGGGGTTGAGTTTAAACACAATTGGATACAATTCAATCATACATTCGTTATGTAAGTATGGTGATGTCTATAAAGCTGTAAACATGTTTGAAGAAATGCGTATGAATGGATGCAAACGCGACATTTTCACTTTCAATTCACTAATATTTGGGTTATGTGAGATTGAAATGATTCAACATGCATTGAGAATGTGTCAAAAAGACATGGTGTTGGAAGGTGTTGTTGCGGATACTGTAACTTACAACACTTTGATTCGTTCTTTTCTTAAACAAGGTTTGATTAATGACGCTTTTAACCTCGTAGACACTATGTTATTCCATGGATGCTCACTTGATGAAATCACATATAATGGCCTAATAAAAGCTTTATGCAGAGATGGAGCTGTTGAAAAAGCATACGATGTTTTTGGGAAGATGAGGGAGAAGGATTTCAATCAAACTACTGTTTCTTGCAATCTTTTGATGAATGGATTTGTTAAAACTGGAAAACTGCAAAAGGCGTTTGATTTTTTACAAGATATGGAGAATTCAGGGATGATTCCTGATATTGTGAGTTATAATACTTTAATTAGTGGGTTATGCAAGATGAGAAATGTGGAAGAAGGTATGAAGCTGTTTGAAGTTTTGGAGTTGAAAGGTATGAGTCCTGATGTGATTACTTATAATACTTTGATATCTTCGTATTGTAAAGAAAGCATGTTTGATAAAGCGTATTTGCTTTTAAGTAGAGGTGTTGTTAAAGGGTTTGTACCTAATGATGTAACATGGTATATATTGGTGTCTAGTTTGTTAAAAGAGCTTCAATGATCTATAGATAGATTTATGCATTTCGAATGACATTATTGTAAGATTATAAATTATATACAATTTTTTGTTTTCATTTCTTTCTTTTGATGCTTATTTTGAACACTTGCATGTAACTTATTACTAGACATGGTGCAAACTTCCATCCACCTCCTCTCTTCTCTATATATGTTTAAGTTTCATCGTTTCTTTTGGATAATTGTAACTTCGTTGTTCATAATGATCATTGATTATTATACAAATCATTCCCTCATAAACGATTAACAATATCCAGGATGCCTTAGTTCTTCACCTATTGATATCTTTGTAAAGAACAAAAAATTATGAAGTTTAATCATTCATTTATAAATTATCAACAACAATATTTGGTCTGATCGGTTGCATTGGTTATTTGACCAACTAATTTTTGTATGTATGGATGTATAAATTGTATGTATAGAGTAATCATTATAATAACAATATATCGATATTGTAGAGAACAAAAAATTATGAATTTTGATACAATATGTCTGTTAGATCTAGATCTTGATTGGGTGTGATATCAACCTCGATTGAACTCATTCCAAGAGACTTTTGTATTCTAACTTCTTCCATCTTCTTCCTAACATTTACAGCTTCCTCCCACCTCTTACCTTCACAATATATATCCGATAACAACACATAATTTCCATCATCATAACCTTCTAGTGCCATTATTTTCCTATTAACTTCTTCACCTATTTCAACATTTTTATGAATCTTACATCCCCCAAGAAGCCCTCTCCAAACCACCACATCCGGTTCAAAAGGCATATTCATGATTAAATCTTTGGCATTATCTAAATGTCCTGCACGACTCAAAATATCAACCATGCAACCATAATGTTCCATTTCTTGTGTTAATCCATATACATCACTCATGGAGTTAAAGTATTCCCACCCTTTATCCACTAAACCAATATGACTACAAGCACTTAAAACACCTATAAAAGTGACACCATTTGGTTTAACTCCTTCATTTATCATATTGTTGAAATGATCGAGTGCAAGATCACCATACCCATGGTTTGAAAGCCCCATGATCATAGCACTCCATAAGAACACATCTTTCTTTTTTATGTCATTGAAAACTTTCAATGCAGTGTTTATATCTCCACATTTTGCATACATGTTGACAAGGGAAGTTGCAAGCTTTATGTCTATTTCGATTCGGTTTTGAATTATGTACTTGTGAACTTTCATGCCTGTAGTTAAAGCACATAAATCTCCACATGCAGATAACACACTCACAATTGTGATTTTATCAGGTAAAAAGTTGGCTAATTGCATATCATGGAAGAGATTCAAACCCTCGTGAGACTGCTTGCTCCAAGAAACCAAATCTTTATCTCCATGGGGAAGTGAGGCATAACCATGGATCATGATGTTCCATGAAACCAAGTCTCTTTGAGACATTTTATCAAACAGTTGGCGTGCTAAACTTACTTCCCCAATCCTTACATACTCAGCTAGCATTACATTATACGAAACCAAGTCTGGATCATTCATTTCACCAAACACCTTCCTCGCAAACTCTATCCACCCGAATTTCACGTACATTTCAGTGAGACCCGTCTGGACAAAGAGATCATTCCCAAAACCAAGTTTCAATACCTGGGTATGTATCGTTTGGCCGTTTTGAAGAAAACCCGACCTCCCACACGCTTGAACCACAAGAGAGAGGCTGAAACTGTCTATAAAGAGGTGATCTTGGCGACGCAACTGGTGAAATAAAGACAGACATTCATTGTGGTTTTGGGAATTTAAGTAAGCTCTGATCATGGTGTTCCAAAGAAATGTGTCTGGACATGGCATTTCGTCGAAAAGGGATCTGGCATAACGCAAATTGTTTGAAGAATTCAAAGAGAAGTTCCGAAGCAGCTTGGTGATGATGAAGTTGTCGGATTGTAAGGAAGTTTTTAGAAGGAATGCATGGATTTGGAAGATGATATGGAGTTCTTTTGAGTCGTGAATTAAGGACATGACTTTTTGTTTGATGGTTTTCGAGGGAGAGTGGGAGAGCATCGCGATGAATCCCATTATGTTTAACTTTACCTTCATTACTTATGGAATATTTAAGGTAAAATCAACTTGAACACATAAATAAAATAAAAAAATAAAACATGTTTGTATTTATTTGTTGATTATAGAATTTATTTTTATTTTGTAAAATATAGGATTTCGGAATTACAATAAACACTTGGATATTGTTTGGATCGTGATTAATTCACTATCCAAAATTTGTAATTCGTACTGTCCATTATTGTCTGGGTTACATGAATATAGAAATAAGATAATCCAAGAAATTTGATTTGGATTGCAGGCCTAATATGAAATCATAAAACACAAAATATCTTGTGATGATTTGTACTCTTAAGAGAAAGAGAATTGCAGAGAGAATGAGAAGATAGAAACAATTTTTCTGATTCGTTCTATCTCTACTACAACGCTAACATCTTGGTTATATACCAAGATGTCGATAGTTGTGTGGAAAAACAGTGCCCCGTACTTTTCCTATTCTTTGGACTCAATAAATGGGTTATTTGACAAGAAAGTTTGGGTTGTTGTAACACTCGTTTTCCATATTGGATCGGTGTAGGGCATAAAGGAGTCAAAGATATGATTTTTGGAAAAAATCATGTCTCACGATGTGACCATAGGGTGGTCACGACGTGGCAAGCCAAATTGAGACCGTGTACCCCCGGGAAAATGCCACAACGTGGCATGAATATGGCCACGACGTGGCAAGGGCTGCAGCCCAAGCCCATGATATTCTTAGGCGTTCCTTCGTATTTAAACCCATAATCTCGAATTTAGCATCCATTACTCTCAAATCTCAGAAACCCTAACCCTAATCCTTCTTGGTCATTCTTGGCTCATTTTGGTACTTTTGGTGGCTTGAAGAAGAAGAAGAAGAAGAAGGTGTTCTAGTGTGTTGATCCGACAAGGAAACCTCATCATAATCATGTATGGGTATTCCGAGAATCATTTACTTGAGCTCGGCTGATTGCACGCATCACACCCCCTTTGTCTTTATAAAATCATTTTAGAAATTTATTCTCTTTTACAAAATCTTTTTAGAAACTCATGTTCTTTCAAAAGATTATCAATTCCTCAGTTTGAGTTCAGACATACCCGAGAGTGTTCGTGAATCCCTCAAACCAAGGCTCTGATACCAACTTGTAACGTCCCGAAAATCACAAGGTAAAAATTTCATTATTAATTCGACCAAAACATTAATTATCTTTAAGTCAAGCATTCATTATCCTTTTACTAAATATTCAAAAGTACTTTATAAGAAAACAGTTATCAGAGTACAATCCTAAAGTCATCATAATGCGGAACATGGGTGGATGAGTTGCGATCACGTCGGGCCCTTCCCTTTCGAACCGGAAGTATCTGAGACCATAACCATAAAAACTGTAAGCACAAAGCTTAGTGATTTCCCCAAAATACCACATTACATACATAATAATCACATATTGGGCCCCCGCCCTTCATCGGTCATCGGCTGACATCGGGTCCCACCCGGCATCGAGCCCCACTCAGTATACAGATCTGTCAGTCATCAGGACCCACCTGGCATCGGGCCCCGGCCGGTACACATATAAACATATAAACATATAATCATACGAACACATGCGATAATCACAAAGACAATAGCATACAATATAGTCATCGAGACCCGCCCAGCATCGGGCCTTGCCCGGTAAGCATAAAAACACATACTGATAACTAGCATACGATATACTCATCAGGCCCAGCTTGGCATCGGGCCTTGCCCAGTAAGCATAGCATCACATAATACATGCAAGAGTCACACAGAAATCTAGCATCCTAACATAATAATCCATGGGCCGACATTGGTGCCTTCGACATGTAACGCCCGCAGATAAGGGCTAGTCAATTTAGAGACGATAAGCGTTAAAAATGACTTTTTGATAGAAGATTATTTATAATGAATAATCTTAACTAAGTTGTAGTGGTCGTGACAAGGATTTCGGATATATAAAGAATGCCGAAATCCGAGTTATAACGAAGAAGTTATGACCTGTCGAAGTTTCACGACAGAACCGACACGACGCTGTCTGCCGTAAAAAGTGAATTTACGATAGAGCGATATTTAGCCTTAGTGATCTAAATGAAAGTCGTAGAATACGTTAAACCGAGAGCGTACATAAAAAGAACGTCTAAATCTGACTTCGTATAAGGAAGTTATGATTTTTCTAAGTTTCGACTTAGCGGTTTGCAGCCCAAAGTTCGAATATGAGATCGAGTAATTTCTAGCCGAAACAATCTAAACGAGAATCGAAGATCTCGTCGATAGTAGTGCAACGGTAGAAAGACAGACGAAAACGGACGTCAGATGAAGGAGTTATGAATTATTAACGGAGTTTTCCTGTCCCGGCCTACTAAAAATAATATAATATAAATAAAGTCAAAATTAGCCGACAGAGTCTAAAAGAAAGTTGTAGAGCATAATCTCACCTACGCGTGCATATAAAGAACGTCAAAAACGGAGCTCGTATGCGAAATATATGAATTTCTGAAGTACGGGGCACGAACTTCCACCATTGTCAGAGTTCACGACGTGAACAGATGATGGACGTCTTCCAGAGCCTGACAGACCCAAGTTGCGATGACGCACCTGATGACGACTGAATTCACGATGTGAACAAGCCTGGTTCACGATGTGAATAGCGAAATTCAGCCCTATAAATAGAAATCGAAGGCAGCCGGTTTTGGTTGCTAATTTCTCAACCTCTCTCCTACTTTTCTCATCATTAAGCCTACTTTTAGCCCCTTGAAGTCCTGATATCATCCCGACACCCGAAGCAAGTCCCGAAGCCCTGAAGATCCCAAGAAAAAGAGTTTTCAAGCCAAAGCTCTGCCCGCAAGAAGTTTGGTTTCTGAGAAAACATTCCGGTTTCATCAAAGAATATTACTTTAAGAGCCGTAGTGTTGTCCGATCATCGTCTTATCAG